TATTTCTTTATAATTCTGTAGAATCGTAAATAAGTATAGCAATACATACTTTATGCTAAATTCAAATATTCAAAACTGTTGATAACAATATTTGATTACATTATTAAATATGCTATTAAAAGATAAGCCCATGTCAAATCGCCTCTCACTTCTCTCACATCATTCGATTACTCAATCATACCAACTTATTAAAAAAATAATCCACACAACAACGACATTCTAGGAAAACTCCCCCATAAGCGATACCTGTATTTAAATATTGCTTATTATTTTGTAGTTTCAGGCTACAATCAAGAAATCCACTTTACTGTGACTAAGCTGAATATAAACAGTTATTTGTTTGAAACAATTATTAATTGTTTGTTCGAAGTGAAAAGAACGGAGAACGATAGCACAGACGCAGCGAGAAAATCGTTCAAGACCATAACAATTTGTGACTGGCAATTAGGGTAAGAGTCCCAGTTACTGACACATTCAGCATGATAATAAATTTTATTGGTTTTCTGACGGATTACAGGTGATCCAGTCATCATACCTCATTTGTCACACAATAAAATAAAATAAAATAAAGTAGAATAGAATATATATAATATATTATATTATTATTATATTCTCATATAAAATACAATAATTTATAAAACGAATTTAAAATTATATTATTATTAAACTATTGAACTATTACTAACTATTAATACTATTATAATAATGAATTTGGTTTTCTATTGACTTTTCTTTTGCTTCCCTCTTCACTACCCGGCCTCCAAACCCCCTGTCTCTCTTATTCCTTATATTCCCGTCCCTTCCTCCAGTCTTCCTCTCCTCTTCTCCATGCACTTCATCCGCGCCTTCCCCTTTTCCTCTCATCATTCTTGCCACATTTTCCTGTCATCCTTCGGGATCATCATCAGTGCAATCACGGTTGCAATCATGACGCAGAGGTTCCGCGTCGCGCCTTTGCCATCGTAGTTCAGAATTACAATGTTCAATGTCCACAATGTCCACGCCACTGTGCAGGACTCCCTGCGCATATGTCACCTTGTGCCTTCCCAAAAGTGACCTCACGTTTTCTCTTCTCTTCCGCATCTCCTGTATTCTCTTTCCTCCTCCTTTAACTAGTATTTTCCTTCTCTTACCTCGTCCCCAGTCTGGATATTGCCATTCTCTCTCTTAGTCCTCTTTTCACCGCACTTCTCCTTCAGGTATTTAGGAGCGCTCTCCTCTTTTATTTATTTGTACCATTTAATGTGCCTCAGTTATTCCCACCCTTTCATCTTCACATCTTTCCTCCATCTGTCTTTGTCTCCTTCCATTTTCTCTATCTGTTTGCAACTTGTACTGCTTCCACCTACTCCTTCACCTTCCGTTGTGTTGTTGAGCTTCCAATCTTCAGGATACCTCCTTCTCTCTTCATAGCACTTTTCCCAACTTCTCCTTCTTTCTCTTTCCTTGACATGTTCTTAGCATACTTTCGTCAAACATCCTCCTTTTCCCAGAATTTCCATTTCCCAGAATTATTGACTGTGAATTATGTCCACTTCCTGTTGTTCCTTCCACCCCTATACCTCCGCTCCGTACCGCACCAGCGTCCATATTAATTTGTCATATAACCATACTCTTTTTTTCCAGTCCCTCCCAAATAGTCTTTTCTCTAACCTCCATTCCTGTCCGATTACTGCCACCGCCTTCTTCATTCTCTTCTTCATGAGCTCTTCCGGACCTCCATTACGCTTCATTTTATAACCTAGATACTTGAAATCCTTAACTTTCTCTATCCTCTTTTTCCTCCATGTCCATACCACCTCTCTCATTTTACCTCAGCCCAGTTTAAAACGCATCATCTTAGATTTTATTCGTATTCAAAATCAGGTCTTTCCTTGCAAACACCTCCCCATGTCTCTCATCATCACCATTATATCTTTCTCATCTTCCGCGAGCAAAAACACATCGCCTGCATAGAACAGAGTCAAAATTCTTTCCCTTCCGATCCCTACCTGCCTCTTCATCCTTTCGTCATACACTCCCCCACATCTCAATATAAAAATATTGAACAAATGTAGAATCATCAGGTATCCTTGCTTTAATTGTTCAAGGCAGGGGTTTAAACAGTTATGATATCGGTTTCGGTTCATAAAACAGTTCTGGAGAACCGAAATGTTATCATAACTCTTATAAGGAATATCAGTTCTGGCTTATATCCATTTCCAGTTCTATAATTGTTATTTTTCGATTCTGAGTTTCAGTTATAGATGTCGGCTCTAATTCTATTTCACGTAACAAATACATTGTGTTTTGCTTTAGGGATTAAAAGTATGGATTCTGAAATCTTTGTAATATTGACAAGGTGCGACTTTAAACATGTGTCAATGAATGCGTCTCGTAAAGTATCCGCATAACTTCGAGGTATCCGAGACCATCTGGGGTTTGTTCGTCGACAGGAACTACAACCTTAAGAGGCTACGCGAACCTATGATTCTATCATAAATTGACCGAAAGCAAAATAGCGTCAGGCTATCTGGCTTTGGTTCCTTTCAAAATTAAGCATCAATTGCAAGACGTAGGAGCCAAGTGCAATCTTATTTTTCGTCCTTAAATAATTTTAATAAGTTATACTTAACATTAAGTATAACTATTATACTTAATATACTATTATACTATTATACTTAATATACTATTATACTATTATACTTAACACAAATTTTTAGTTTCTATCAATTACTCTGTTTCATCTATACATTTTCCCACAAATGAATAAAATCCACAATCTAATTATAAGTTGATACACATATAATATATATACATTTATAAGTAACTGAAAACTTGTGCGTAAATGTTTGGGCACTGTAGAAGTAAAATGTATATTGCATGTATTAGGTCTACCGGAAAGTTCTGTCCGATAGTATCGCTTCAAGTTTCAATCCATATGCACATGTTGATTTGGGACATATATGACTATCTCTCTTTATCATTGCATTTACACACATGTACTCTCCTAAATAAACTGAAACAAAGATGTCTCATGTCATTATTAAGTGAGACGCGATCGTGAAAACATGGCTATCGATGATCTGTCTCTTATACACATCTAGATGTGTATAAGAGACAGATCATCGATAGCCATGTTTTCACGATCGCGTCTCACTTAATAATGACATGAGACATCTTTGTTTCAGTTTATTTAGGAGAGTACATGTGTGTAAATGCAATGATAAAGAGAGATAGTCATATATGTCCCAAATCAACATGTGCATATGGATTGAAACTTGAAGCGATACTATCGGACCTGTCTCTTATACACATCTAGATGTGTATAAGAGACAGATCATCGATAGCCATGTTTTCACGATCGCGTCTCACTTAATAATGACATGAGACATCTTTGTTTCAGTTTATTTAGGAGAGTACATGTGTGTAAATGCAATGATAAAGAGAGATAGTCATATATGTCCCAAATCAACATGTGCATATGGATTGAAACTTGAAGCGATACTATCGGACCTGTCTCTTATACACATCTAGATGTGTATAAGAGACAGATCATCGATAGCCATGTTTTCACGATCGCGTCTCACTTAATAATGACATGAGACATCTTTGTTTCAGTTTATTTAGGAGAGTACATGTGTGTAAATGCAATGATAAAGAGAGATAGTCATATATGTCCCAAATCAACATGTGCATATGGATTGAAACTTGAAGCGATACTATCGGACCTGTCTCTTATACACATCTAGATGTGTATAAGAGACAGATCATCGATAGCCATGTTTTCACGATCGCGTCTCACTTAATAATGACATGAGACATCTTTGTTTCAGTTTATTTAGGAGAGTACATGTGTGTAAATGCAATGATAAAGAGAGATAGTCATATATGTCCCAAATCAACATGTGCATATGGATTGAAACTTGAAGCGATACTATCGGACCTGTCTCTTATACACATCTAGATGTGTATAAGAGACAGATCATCGATAGCCATGTTTTCACGATCGCGTCTCACTTAATAATGACATGAGACATCTTTGTTTCAGTTTATTTAGGAGAGTACATGTGTGTAAATGCAATGATAAAGAGAGATAGTCATATATGTCCCAAATCAACATGTGCATATGGATTGAAACTTGAAGCGATACTATCGGACCTGTCTCTTATACACATCTAGATGTGTATAAGAGACAGATCATCGATAGCCATGTTTTCACGATCGCGTCTCACTTAATAATGACATGAGACATCTTTGTTTCAGTTTATTTAGGAGAGTACATGTGTGTAAATGCAATGATAAAGAGAGATAGTCATATATGTCCCAAATCAACATGTGCATATGGATTGAAACTTGAAGCGATACTATCGGACCTGTCTCTTATACACATCTAGATGTGTATAAGAGACAGATCATCGATAGCCATGTTTTCACGATCGCGTCTCACTTAATAATGACATGAGACATCTTTGTTTCAGTTTATTTAGGAGAGTACATGTGTGTAAATGCAATGATAAAGAGAGATAGTCATATATGTCCCAAATCAACATGTGCATATGGATTGAAACTTGAAGCGATACTATCGGACAGAACTTTCCGGTAGACCTAATATATTATCTAAACGTAAAATATATTCAAAATATAACTGAAATACACAGTCGAAATGCATAACCGAAATCCAGAATCGAAATCCTGAACGGAAATCCAGAACCGAAAAGTAACAGTTATAGAACCGATAAAATATCGGTTATCGATACACCTTATAACTGTTATAAAATATTTTTGGTTCTCCATAACTGTTTCAGTCAGAACCGATATATGTATAACGGTAAGCCTTTCCCTTTGTTATCTCCTACTCTTACCTTGTACAGTAATTTTTTCCTAATTCGCGCTCAGATTGCGCACAAAAATGGACAATTCAAGAATAGAAGACACGATTTTTAGTAGTTGTTGACAATCGGTAATTATAAAAACGGAGCCGCAAGGCTCGAATAATCGTATCTCCTCTTCCCAAATTGTCCACTTTTGTATGCAATCTGAGCGCGAATTAGAGAGAAATTACTGTATCTTGTCTCCCTATAGGTCTCCTTTATTCACTTCTTTAGTTCTTCGCTCTTTCCTCTTTTCCTCATCCCATAGTTTGCCTCTATCTACCGAGTCGCTGCTCTCAAATCTATGAAGAAGGCCACATTCTTCTCCCATTCTGTCTGAGGTACTTATCTACTACATAATTCAGAACATATACATTATTCATGGTTATGTCACTCGTTTGCTGAATCCAGCTTTATATGACGGTATTCTGGACAACCTCGGTAATTGGAATTCTTATCCTATGTATGTTCTAGTGTGGATGCGGGACATTTAAGAAGATACTTCGTGGATACAGCAATAAGAAATTTTATGGCGCTGCAAATGATGGAGGATTGAAGGAACGTTTCGTCCGAGGCCCGTTGAGGATTCATCAGCGAGGCTATTATGGTGTGCTCCGCATCCAGCGTGAGCAGCTGCGCGATCTGGAGATCTGCGCCACCGCACAACGCATCGTTTCGGAGACTGATAGTGCCATGGACTTACGTGACTTGGCGCAGAATAAAAAGATAATCACTCGAAATGGCTGATATGGCATCAGGCCAGTCAGACTTCATGTTCAAAACTTAGACATTATACATCATCGTGAACATTTTGTAAACCGATGATGCGTACGGAATATTTCACAAAAGCTGCAAAGTGAATCAAAATAGTGTTGGGTGTTAGATTTAATATAATAACAAACACTTTTTCGTGGTTTTATAACTATTAACCAGAAATCTATATTCTATAAACTCTCTCTTAACAATCCTTGGCTTGTTTGAACAATAAATAACGTATCTACAACTTAACTTTCTAACTCCTTTTCGCTGTGCGATCTACCTCTGTTCATTATAGATCTTTCTCGAACCTCATCCACACCATCTATCCCATTCAAGTCACTATCTTGTCGATATAGAAGGGAATCGATTAAGTATTCAACAGTGTGAACGTATATTTCCATCAGTAAGTATTTCATTACTCACAATCTGGGTATTAGCTAAATATAATATTTCATATTTGATTAATTGAATTTCCTTTCCAAAAAATTAAACATTTTCGCATATTCATTAATGTCGAATATTAAAACAATTCTCTCAACACGTTTATACCATCGGTGTGTCCCTTTCGAAATTTCAGATATATCGTACTAACATAACTATACATCGAGTTCACTGCGACGTCCACATGTACGTGATTGCCTTTACTTCAAGAAAACTATGTAAAGCCGTGTCTATAGTTATACAGGGTATCCCAAAATTGTTTCAAAATTCAGAAATGGTGGTTCCTGAGATCATTTGAAATAATTTTTTCCTTAGCGAAAATAAACTTTTTCCTTATTCGTTAATAATTAAGTAACTAACTTCGTAAACAAAGTAGCGGATTGTATTTTCGCTAAGGAAAAAGTTACTTCAAATGATCTCAACAACCCCCCATTTCTGGATTGCGAGGCATTTTTGGGATACCCTGTATATGTACAGGGCTCAGAATTGACCAGCACGCAACATGAGGATCGCGAGGGCTCCACCTCCTTAGTTCCGTCACGTATCTCGCTCTCCGATGAAGATTAAATTACGCACGCACGCGCGCACACACACACACATACACACAACGCAACAGGCACACGCACCTGATGTATGTATAGTAATGTCTCCCTAATTGACGCTCAGATTGTGCACAAAAGTGGACAATTTGGGAAGAGAAGATACGATTATTCAAGTCTTGCAGCTCATTTTTATAATTGTTGACAATAGATAACTATGGAAACGAGTTGCAAGGCTCGAATAATGGTAATTCCTCTTCCCAAATTGTCCATTTTTGTATACAACATGAGCGTCAATTAGGGAGACATTAGTGTACTCCGTGTCGAAGAAGACGACCACGAGGAGCGGCACGCGCGACGTGAATCAGAAGGCGTAGTCATCGCGATCCTCATGGGCGTGCTTGGTTAATTCCAAGCCCTACTCAAAGATATGAATGGAACACATACACTGGATCAGGCCAAGGGAGGAGTGAGATTAGCCATAAAGAGGGACCACTTCAATATCGGCTGTATTCGGTTTGACTCGGAATCACCCGGGTACGATGCGACATACATGTTACACGATGCAAAGATCGTAAAGCGACAGCTATCGTGTCACGTAACAACGATATTTCCACACGAATTTGTAATCATATTATAGCGACTTAAAATCGTTTAATTGTTCAATTAATGAATTGTTCAAATTCTGTTAATAGTCACTTTGTGGGGTAAAAATTTTATGTCTGCAATTGTAATAATTTCACGGGGCTAAAATAACTAATTATTCAAATGCTTAATGTGCATAATGTATTTGAGAAAAAATAGTAAAATAATTGCATTCGATTTCTTAGAATTGTCTTTGATTATTAAAAATACTTCGTAAACAGATTTCATAACAATAATTTTGATTTACAGTAGTTTCTATGTATGATTTTAGACTATCCAAAGCAAGTGATATTTTCTCAAAAGTTCTAAATGCTCATATTACAGTATGTTTATGTAAACATTATTTTGAGACACGACAGTTGCCGCTTTAATCGCACGATTTTCGCATCGTGTAACATGCATTTCGTGTCGTATCCCCTCCCTGAATCTCGTCCGCCATTTTAGGGCGAAAGCAGGGACCCCTACAACCAGACCTCCCAGCATCCTGACCACTTTACGACTTTCTTCCAGGAAAATAGAAGTGAAAGAATTACCCATCACAAATGGAATTGAATAATGCCAATGGATTTCCATTGGCAATCCATTGGAATAGTCCAATCCCATTTGTGAGGTCCCCTTTCCGCCAGAGAAAGATACTACTTAGAGCAGATGCCGAGCAGAATCCCTGATACCATTGGACACACTAGACACCAATAGAACACTGGACTTGAGTGGAAATTCCACGAACGGTCAGGAAGCTAGGAGAATGCTTGCAACCGTCTCATCGTCTCAACGCTCTAGCCGTATGATATAGCTTTCTGGCATTCAGCATTAGTTTAGTTTCCATGATCGGTCACGCTGAGAAAATGTTTCTCACATACAGTTTCCATGTATCTGATTTCGAGTAACACGCGGTTGGACGAAGGACCACGCTGGACGCAATATTATCCTTTTAGGCACGACAAGCCACTATAGTGGCATTCGCAGATGTCATCTCTCTGGACGACGCGCCACTATAGTGGCTTGCTNGTCTCAACGCTCTAGCCGTATGATATAGCTTTCTGGCATTCAGCATTAGTTTAGTTTCCATGATCGGTCACGCTGAGAAAATGTTTCTCACATACAGTTTCCATGTATCTGATTTCGAGTAACACGCGGTTGGACGAAGGACCACGCTGGACGCAATATTATCCTTTTAGGCACGACAAGCCACTATAGTGGCATTCGCAGATGTCATCTCTCTGGACGACGCGCCACTATAGTGGCTTGCTCTAGTAGTTCACTCGCTCATCGTTCGAACCAAATAATCGTCTTCATATGCATTGTTTCACACTTCTTTTGTCTTCACATCGATTTACAACAGTCTACAGGGTGTCCCAAAAATGTCTCGCAATCCGGAAATGGCGGGTTCCTCGGATCATTTGAAGCAACTTCTTCCTTTACAAAAATTTCCTCCGAGGCACCGTTAACGAGTTATTAACGAAAAA